TTTTATAAAATTTGACATCAAGAATTCTATAAAAATAGTTATGAAACTCATAATATTATCCTAAAACAATTAAATTCAGGGAAATATAATCAAGGAAAATAAAATTTAACTCATTAACATTTACCCTTAATTTATAAATCAAAAATCAAGGTTTTATGAATAAAAACTTGATTTTAGTGCACATTTTATATAAAAATTGAGATATTTTATAAAAGAACTTAAATTTTATAAAAGAAAATGAATGAGAAAGGGGTATTATAATAAAAAATTCGGATCCCTCTCTCCCCATATCTCTCTCTCACACTCTCATTCTCCAACACACACACACATCTCTCTTCTTTCTCTCTCTAGAAAACTCTCTCTACTTTCTCTCTAATTTTTCTCTCCAAACACCACTCCATTCTCTCTTCCTCCCTCTAAGAACCATGAAATTTTCCAGAAAACAAACCCAAGAACACTCCTCAAACTCAAAATCTTCATCATCTTGTGGTATTCTTGAAGGTAAAATCGATTTCTACTTCACTTTTCCTTCAAGTTTTGCTCTTTTTCTTACACTTTCTCCTTCTTCATCTTCTTCAAACTTGTTTTATTTTTGTTAAAATGGTTTTTAGAACATGATGGATGTGTTTTAACACCATGCATGTATGATAAACAAGGTTGCATGTTCATGATCTTAGTGCAAAAATCGATTTTAAGGATTAAAACATCAAACTCAAGTTAAGAGTTTTTGAGAAACAAAATTTTGTTCATAAATGCATGTATACATTTTGATAAGTTTTAATCTTTTGATCTCTGGAAACATGACTAAAATATGAATTTATCATGATATATTTAAAATACTTCAAAAGATTTACTCAAGGAAATGATGAAAACTCACTTTTCTAACCAATCATCATGCATGCAATCTGCCAGATTTCTTTACCTGACTTTAAACTGTCATATCTCACTCATTTCTTAACCAAAATTCGTGATTCTTTTTCTGCAATATAATATTTTTAGTTAGCTTTCAAACCCATCTGACCTTATTGAAAAATTACAATATTTCGATTTTTACCAATTTTTACAAAACTGTTGCTCAAACAGCACTTTCCTTATGAACATTTGTTTTGTGTTGCATGTTCAAAGGACTTATTCATCACTAAAAGTCATTCAAAAATTATTTTGAACTCTTAATATCATGTATTAATAGGTACAAAAAGATCTTGATTCAAAAGTCTTTGTAACATGTTGCAAAAATTGTCATAGTAACATCAATAATCTTTACATAAATCACAAGAACCAAGTTTTCTCTATAATTTATTGAGCCTTTAGGCATGGTTTTCAACATCAAAAATAAGAAAACAATTTTCCATTGTTATTAAATTGTACGAAGATACATTCTGGAAATTTTCAGCTCAATATATATTTTCTTTATTTTTATATGAAAATAATAAGAAAATAGAGTGTTAAATCATATAAAATACTTACGCTAGTAAATAAGTTCTGAAAAAATTCTTGGATGATCCTTTAAGTTAATAAACATTCCCCATGAAGTTTCAATGACTTTTGTTACTGTTTAGTATTGTTTTTAATTTTCTTTTTATTTAACTCTAATAAATCATAAAACCACTTTAGGGAATGTGAAAATATTATTTCTTATTTTTCGCAGCTTGTACCCTGTATTTAAAACTCAGAAAAATATTTTTGGAATTTTTCAAAATGTATATCTATTTTTCCATGATTTTTGTGTTTATAATGGATTAAAAACAGGAAAAATAGTTTTACTCATCCAAAATTAATAAAAATTTACCAGAAACTCTTATAATATGTTAGGATGATAAATAAAAATTTTGATGATTTTTATCTTCTGTATGCTATTTTTCTTCTATTTTCCCAAGATTTAATACACTTAAATGTACAAAAATCATAAAAATTGTGTTAAACTTTTTGAAAACACATATTAATAATTTTCCCAGATTATGTACACTGTAAAACAGTTACAAAAAAATTATAAGAATTTTTCATGATAATTTACTATTTTTCCATGATTTTATGATTATTCAAGGAATTAAATGGTGAAAAATAGTTAGACAAATCAAAAATTCAAGAAAATTTACCTTAAGGTCTTTGACTTCAATTAAAAATGAAATACAAAGTTTGGGAAAGTTTAGAACTAAATTGATTTCGTTTTGAATATTTAATCATTGGAACACCTCTAAAATGTTAAATATTAACATTTCAATAATCGAAATTTTCCACTTAAATTGTTATATAACAATTGATTCTTTGAAACTTAATTTCCACAGAAAAATGTTTGTAACTTATCAATATTAAATTTTGACACATTATTGGCTTAATTCTATTGTAGTAGTAAGTATACTAGTATTAGATTTCGATTAGAGACTCACTAGCGAATACCATTATTGTAGGAATCGGTAGTGGTACTCGTGGAACGTAGTTCAAGGCACCATTTGCATCATCTCAATGCATTGTGAGTATTCACGCACTCCCGTATTTTCAGTTTTTATGTTTTGGGGTGGAAAAGCATGTCCCGAAAAACTATTATTTGCATGTTGTATTTAAATCGATTTATATCAAACATGATTGCTATTGTATTGCTATGTCTCTCTATGTATGTTTATGCAACACGGAACATGAGAACTTATCGTACTAAGGCCCTTCCCTTATCTCTAACCATTAACTCTTTGAGCCAATGGTCATTATGGATAGCGCTATTAGGAATTGACAACTCCTCACTCGCCCTATTGCTGGAGTGCATGATACCATATTCATCTATGGAACGATAAGTATAGATCTTGATAGGGCTTCAGTCATAGGTTTGGTTGAGACTCATTGTTTGCTCATACACATACAAACTCGTTACTTATTATAGCAATAAACTTGTTTATTAATTATAGCAATGAACTTTGTTTCTAATTACAACAACGAACTGTTATTACTGAAAACTTATATACATGTTTTAGCAATGAAATTGTTTGCTCCTTGTAGCAACGAAATTGATTGCTCATTTTAGCAATGAAACTAGTTTACTCGTTTGAGTAACGAACTTTATCTTCCATGAGAATATGAATGTTGCATCTTATTTGGGCAACATACCTTATCTCTCATGATGACAAAGAACTTTGTTTTTACAAACTTATTTACTCATCTTAACAATATACTTTTATTATTGGAAACTTTTATCAAAACTTTGATTTCAATTCATGGAACCAGTATTATTTTGTTTATCTGTGAGTACTCACCAACTATTTTTATAGTTGACGCTCGTTTTACATGCTTTTTCAGGAATCATCGAGTAAGTGGCACTTAGGGACACTTCACTTTTAGGAGCATTCGCATGTGTTGTATTTCAATTTACATTGTAATTTCTTTTAAAAGTTGTTCAAACCCATTGTGAATTTGTAATGATTTTTAATACTACGGTTGGTGTTGTCTTTTAACTTTTGCGATGAAACCCTTTGTACTGCCACGCCCTGTGTTTCCGCTTTAGCGGGGTGTGACATATATCAAGAACCCTTGTCAGTATCACATACCAAATTAGTGCTAATGAAGAGGATAAGAAATTGGTATAGAAACAATTAGGACCAACGACGAAAGAGTGACATCGTTTAAGGTTTATTCCAACAGTGATATGAAATATATGGTATCCTTTCTTGATGGTCTTAGGTCAAAAGAGGTGGTCGCCGGTGAGAATTGAGGAAGAGGTAGAGAATTGAGAAGTACTGTTGAGCTAAGCTATATGGAATTGATGGGAAATGTAGAGAGCCGTCGACGTGAATCAAAATATAGGGAAAGATGGAAAATCACGAAGGAAAGGATTGCTGGTAGCTAGACTTCTTTAGGGTAATGTTACATTAGGTTTTGGTTAGATTCGCAACCGATGACTGAAGTAATCTTCTTCTCCATTATATTTAGACGTTTAGTTAGAGAGAATGGAAGGGGGAAAGAAAGCGGCTGAGAAAGAAGTTCAAGGAAAGAGAACATGATAAAGATTCTTTAGTTAGGTTGCAATTTCCTTTTTTTTAAAGAACGGACGCGGGGTTTAGGAATTATAAAACGACACCTCGAAAGATGACACACATATTTGATGGGGATTATCATACTTTTTTTAAGAATAACACAACTTTTATGACATATAAAAATGTGTGTTATATACCCTTCTAACTTTAGAAACAATAACATTTTCATTTTTCTTATGACATACAAAAATGTGTATCATAAAATTAGTGTGTGTCATAGTTCACATCATCAAAGACCTATTTTCTAGTAGTGTAATATGTTGAAAAGGTCGTATTCAACGGAGAAGTTTAAGCTTTGTTTGGGCTTACTAGTTATCCACAGGAGTTAAGTCCTTATGAGGTGAATTGGCAAGGAGAGGAACTTGGTTTATGTAGCTTGAAGTATTACTAAATCGATGTGGAGATTGTTAAATGTGACTTGAGAATTAAAGACAATCATCTAGTTAATCCGTAGATATCTGGCTACCCAATAGCTAGTATGGAAGACAATAAGCTGATGGAATCGAAAGCCAAATAGGTTTTGTAGCTAGTGTTTATGTGTATGTTTTTCTAATAAATAAAGGCCGATAGCTAGGTTTTTAATATCGTGAAACATATCGTTTTCAAACTTGTGAATAAAAATAATATCTCCTGACCATAAACGTATGTTATGTTGACCGAACTACGTTAACATTATTTTTTTGTGTATGTCATTATTCTCGTTTCTTTTTTGAAAATATGAAATATGAAAAAAAACATGGGATGTACATTTATTTATTTACGTTGTTTATCTAATTTTTAAGTCAATGAATGAAGCAAGTTGTTAAATTTTGTTGGATAAATATCTTGATTATTTTATAGCTTGCAAAATAATATTATCTTGAACTTGTAATGTAAGCAATGACAATAAATAAGCAAATGAAAATAGAAACAGAGAAAACTAGAGACAGTAGGGGAGACAACTTAAAAAGTAAAGGGACCAAACTTCATTTATCAATAAATGCCTTGCGGACTTTGTACAAGAAGTAAAGTCAATGAAAAGCTCAATTATGAAATATCTCATGATATCATCACCCTAAATAGATATTACCTAAACCCCCCAAGCTTCTTATTTATTACAAAATCACCACCAAATATCTATCTTTTCTTACGTCTGACTTCTGACTTCTGACTTAAGGAGACGTTTTATATACAATTTACTTGTCCTTTTATCATATGCCTTTAAATGGAAATGGACAAAATCTCATCTGTCTTCATGGTGTGGGTTTCCTTCGTTTACTTTGACTAAAATAGTCAACAGTCAAACAAAAATTGAGCGTTGACTAATTCTATAGGGGCATCACTTGAGAGAGAGTTTAATGGGTAAGCCATTTTGGGGAAGAGCAAATGGTGCATACTGAATTCCATTCTGTGCACCAACCACTGACCACCTAAAGACAATCCAAAATGTTCGGTTATTATTAGCAAAGAAATTTAGATGTTTTTTAATCATAGTATTTATTTAGGTTAGTATAAATTGGTTCATATTTTTTGTTAATATGTTAAAAATTACAATATTAACAAAATAAATATATTAGAATAGAATATTATAGATAGAATAAATTACATTTTTGACATTTTTGATCCATTTTGGTCCTTAACAAGGTTTTACCTAACAATATTGGATTTATTTTATTGTTTTTTCTAACGTTTTTTTTACATGTTTCAAGTAAAATAATTATATTTTTGGGATTAACACCACGAAAAATGTAATAATAACCTCAAATAAAGATCAATATTACAAAAACAACCTTTTCAAGATCAAGATTGAAAACATAACGTAGTTTACTCTTATAATTATTATAATATTAATTATTGAAAGTTGCATGTTTTTTGTTTTTTAATAACAAAAACATCTACTTATTTCGTATTTCGTATGAAATCAATTTTAATAAACTAATGCAAAAACTTTAATATATACATACATATAATCAATTTATTGTATTTTATAAATAAAAATATTTAATTAATTAGGAAGTAGCGTAAAGATCTATTTCACAAACCTGTACTTTGTGGTCAAATGATGTACGAGCACCAAAATCTCCAATTTCGCAAGTTCATTTCCTGGACACGAGTGGATCCCACTGCCAAATGGCATAAATGTATTGGGTTTCGGTGCCACCTGTCAATTCCAAAATAAATACCAAGATTTCAATTCACCTTTCTTATTTTAGTATGATATCCCACCCAAACCCACTACCCATGATCTCAAAATAGAAAGCGGAACCCATTTTTCAACTACTTAATAAAAAATGAAAATACATAAGTAAATAAATATAATATTATTTAATATAATTTACCATGAATCTTGAAGGATCAAACTTCTCTGGATTAGAGAAATTTTCTTCACTATGGTGAATGTTTCTGAATAATGGCAATACCTTCCATCCTTTAGGAATAAGATACCCTGCAAATTTCATTTCAAAAAAAAACTTTAGTAACGATAATAATAATATTAAATATTTTATAATTACTGATATTATTATTATATTATATTTGAGAACAAACCTTCAAATTGGACATCTTCAACAGCTTCTCTGAAGGTAAAAGATAAGATCGAAGCAACTCTGAGTGTCTCTTGAATGACTCTAGAAGTTATAGGCATCTTCTTGGTATCTACCCAACTCAAACCCTTGTCTTCATTGCACTCATCTTTACTCATCTTTATTGCCTGTTGTTCATCCTGTAAAATCACAGAATACAATAAATTAAAACTCCAATAATTTCTGGAACAGTTAGTTTATGATTTAGAGAGATTTTTGGAGTTTGGAAAGTTTCTTACAGTGACAGCTTCTAGAACGGCTGGATTTTCAGCTAAGTACTTGATGATCCATGTTAAAACACTCGCGGTGGTGTCTCTGGCGGCGAAGATAACTCCGATGACGTTATCGGCGATCTGTTCGTCGGTGAGTCCTTCTTTGTCTTCCATGAAAGAACCCAACAAGTCGTTATGTTGTTCCTTCGTTTCCCTTCTACGCGATATGATTTTGGCTATGATCTTCGCGAGTTCTTTTCTAGCTTTCATTGATTTGTGAAACAGAGTTCCCGGAAGGTTAATCGGCATTGAATTATACCCTTTTTCGAGGATGTAATAGCATCGCTTGAGATCGTCTCTGTTGAGAACTTCATCGTTTCCCAGAATTGAAAGCAATGCGACGTTGAATGTAAACTGGAGATGAAAAAGTAAATTCAGTTAGAAAACAGAGTGTTCGTTGTTGTCAAATTGTCGTTTTTCAATCCCCTGTTTTGAGAATTTTTCACTTACTGTTTTCATTTCTTGAAAAGTGTTGATTAATCGGTTTTCCCATGATTGGAGGGCATCGATGGTGATGGATTCAATGTGGGAAACCATGTGTTTGATTGATTCCGGCGTGAATGCTCTAAGAACAAGACGTCTTAACTTGAAATGATAATCACCCTGATGGAAGAAAATCGCTTGTTTTCCGATCATTCTTTCTTTACTCGCCGGAAATGTGGGCTTAAAGAGATGAGATTTGGTCACAAGGACGAGTTTCGCAGCCGCAGGGCTTGAAATCATGACGCAACGACAGCCTAAGATGTGGGTTTTGAAGATTGAGCCATACCTGTAACAAAAATTCAAAAGATTTTGGTTTGTTTGATTAGTGAAAGTGATAGATGTTAACTGTAAATCGATGGGGGTGAAAGTGTAGAAAGGACTCACTTTTTGACTTTCGAGGTGAAGAAGACATTTGGGTTTTGGGAGTAGAGTTCGAAAGTTTCACCAATATATGGCCAGCCGAGGGTGCCCGGCGGGAGAGGGAGGTTTTTCCGGCGGCCGTCGGCGGCGGAGGTGAAGAGGAAGAAAGAGGAAACAATAATAAATAAAGAAAACAACATGGTAATGGTAATGAATTCCATGGCTTTGTTAGTAAGATGCAGTTCGAGGTACTGATGAGGAGAAATGAAGGGAGTGAAGAGGGGTATGTATAGGTAAGGGAATGGGGGGGGGGGGAGGGGGGATGAGGGTACACTGTTACAGGTGGTGACTCATGCACGGAATTCTGGCTCCTGGTTATCCGATTCAAAAGGGGGTGATTTGAATGTGTGTATATTTATTATGCGACATAATGTTCGTGAAATGCATACTTTTCTGTGGGTTTTAGTTTTGTTTTTGTTTTTCATGTTTCTAACTAAAAACAAGTATAATATGCATTTTAGGTTACTTGATCTTATAGTAACATGATTATGTAATATTAGACAATAGTAACATCTTATAGCATGTAATATTAGACAATAGTTTATTTCATATATCATATATATGTTCTTTTAAGTAACATGATTATGTATAACTTCAAATATTGTTATTATATTCGATAGTGCTATTCAAAACAAAAATACATTTGATAAAATCAATATTGTAAAAGTCGTTTCACGTTTTTAGGTCGGTCGACTATGAGTAGAGAGTATTTGGTTTAGGTGGATGGTACTCGGGAAGTACCCGAATAAAGTAAGGTACCGATAAATGTATCGTTTGATAGTTGTTGACTGAGAAAGTACTGACTGAGAAAAGTCTGACTAGGTAAGAAATCCTGACTAAGTAAAAAACCATGTTATTTGATTGTATATCGGACTTAATGTGGTGACCGATAAAAATAACTATTTTACCCTGCTGCTCTATACACAAATCATTTAAAAATACAAATAAAAATTATAAAATGGATTATTACATTATGATGTGTAAATAGATGTTTTCCTCAAGTCTAGCCATGTATTGATGATTATGCTTGTTTCCCTCTCATATTCAACATGACAAACGAGAAATGGAATTTCTTTTGATCATTGATTTATCCAAAAGATTTCCAAGAACTTTACTCTTGTGTTTCATTCCACCATTTCCTACTCACAAAGATCATAAAACTTATAAATATGTCAGAAAGTTCATCAACTTCAACAATCTTAGAAACTAATTAGCAGAAAAAGGCATAAATTAAGCTTAAAAATGATTAGTTTTGTTATTTTCACATATCCATTGAGCCAATCAAGTTTCAAATACTGAAATTCCTATTTAATTTGTAATCCTCTTCTCCAGTTTCATACAGAAAAGAAATTTCTAAATCCAGAGATTGCTTTCCATGGCCATTTTCTGAAGCTTGTGTACATTCCCACTGGGCACAATATCGATGTGATTTAGGATTCCTCAAGGACGTTAATGTAATTAGAGTAAACCCACCAAACCATCAGGTTCAAACAACTGTGAACAGATTTCACTGTTAAGAATCCTAGAAAAACATTCGAGTTCCAAAAATTTAGCAATTAAACAACAATATTTCAGAGCAATACTCAACATTCTTCGGATAGTCATACAATTATATACAAAATTAGAAATAAAATCGATTTCATAGATGGAGATGAGAAGAAAGGAAACTGATTTCATGGTGGAGAACAGTAGAATAGAAGCTTACCGGCTGAAGAAAGATTATGGAACATTGCTGCTAATCTTGAAATCGAGATGAGAAGGAGGCATGAATGGTGTTGATATCGTTTTCCTTTGCAGAGGTCGGGGTGGGCAATGAGAAAGAATGTAGGAGAAAGGTGAATAAGGGAAAAAGCCTTTTCCGTTTCAGTCATCAAGATTTTTTTAGAAGACCCAGTTAGACATTCATGACCGCGTAAGATGCAGCATAGGAGGGTATCAAACGTATTGACCTGACTGAGTCTGCTAAATAGAATTGATTGGAATGGGTCAACAACATAACAAACAAGGCCTAAATTATTATGAAATTAATCTTGAAACATTATGGCTAACACATGACACATCTGAAATGAGTTGAATTACATCCGGGACACTTGAGATCATGTCTGTCAATTGTATGAGTTCTTTCACCATGACATACATAGCTCATCTCAACACCTTCTTCATACGGAGGAATGCTTAATACTCTTCCTAAATCTTAGGCATCAGGACCTCTTATGGTGGGAGTTGCACCATCTATGAATATTTGGGCCTATCTTGGAATTATGTCCCTAGTTTGACATTCTAAAGATGTCCCAACTTCGAAGTTCAAGATCCTAGGCTGCAAAAATGAAGGCAGAGTTGGTATAGTTTGAACAGATCTTACTGAATATGAGCTCAACTTCTCTATTCTTTCGAACAACATTTTCTTGGTTTCGTTTTGCTCAGTGATATTGTTGTGGGTAGAATTTTCAGCTTATTATTTCTATATCTTAAACTTGTACTAATTTCCAGGACAAGCCCAAGATCTTGGGTTTAATCAATATCTTGGACTGTCATCGTCTTTCTTGTGATATCATGTGCGAGAACTTCGAGGTTGACAACAAAGGAATAGACTAGGTCAAAACTAATGTGGTCAACACCTCATGAATGTTGAAGACCATTGTAAAAGTTGGGTCAAGCATTGATCAAGGAAGATCCCAAGAATCTTAGAATTTTAGTTATTATTGTTATGTATATAAAGACTAGCTCATCGACAATCACACACACACACACTCTCTCTCTCTCTCTCTCTCTCTCTCTCTCTCTGACTGCCACTTACTCTCAATTTCTTTCGACACCTAAGCACTTTTACATTATTTCTAAAATAAGCTAATGCCTGTAATTTTTTTTCGATTTAATATAAGTTCTATGGTAGGTGATTTCATCATCTCCCGATGTTTTATGTCGGAGATCCAAAATGATTAAGGGCTTTCCTCATAATTCTTTTTATTCTTGCATTTACTTTGATTTACTTAATGTTGTTTGATCCACAGTCACTTTTATCATTATTTCTTGATTGTTAACCCGTTTTATTATTAAGAAACTTTGTGGTATCTTGGTACCTCTTAAAGTATTTTAAGCTTTATTATACAAAGTCATTTGTTAAACCACTTTAACATTATCTTTGTCCCAAGTACATTTATTTATATTGTGAGATATTACACTTTAATCAAATACTTTTATGAACAATATAGTTTTCTACCCAAGATCTTGGGGATAACCAAGATCTTCAGCACATTCCAAGATCTTCAACACATTTTAAGATCTTTAGCTGTAACGCCTGCGTTTCTTGCTAGATTAGTCATAATCTATAATCACTTTGGTCAACTATTGTAATCTTTATATGAATGAATAAGAAAGGACTATTCATATATTTATGTGCTTATGTGTTATACAATATTTTATAAGTATTTAATAATGAAATAAATAAGATTAAAATACGCGTCGAAAATAAAAGGTTATTTAGGACAAATAATCTTAACCTAGTTATAGTATACATAACAAGGGTTCCAGAGATTTAAAGAGCATTGAAATCCGACTTCGTATGAAAAGTTATGCTTCTTCAAAGTTTCGCGATTAAACTAGTATGGCTCTGCATATCGTAAAAAGTAAATGTTAGATAAATTTCTTTTTAGCCTAAGTGATCTAAACGAAGGTCGTATTAGTCTTTAAACCGAGAGCGTGCATATAGAGAATGTCTAAATCTGACTTCGTAAGAGGAAGTTATGATTTTTCTAAGATTCAGCGTAGGAGTAGATAACTCAGAAATCGAATTTTAGATCGGTCGATATTTTTCCAAAACAATCTAAACGAGAGTTGAAGATCTCGTCCATAGCTATCTGTCGATATATAGACAGTCGAGAACGAATATCGTATGAAAGGGTTATGATTTTTACACTGACTTTAACAGTCTAAGCCTGTAAAAATACAACTTTAAAAATAAATTCAAAATTAGCCAACAGGGTGTAAATGAAAGTTGTAGATCTCATCGATAGCTACATGTGAATTTAAAATCCATCAAAAATGGAGCTCATATGAGAAAGTTACGGATTTTTTAAGAAATCGGGAAAATTCGCGTGCACCCGCTCGCACCGAGTAGATGCACGACGTACACTGACACACCACCCAAATCACGACATGTGACACCATAGGAAAGTGACACGTCACCACCTCCGACCATATTTGAGGCGCGTAGGGAACTTTTATTTATAGTCATATTCATTATTATGAACATATAATTAAGATTTGTCAGTAATTCCAACTCATGATACTGGTTGATCTATTTACGGGAATGATGTCTAGGCTGGATTTAGTGAGGTGTTTAAAGTGGGATTTCCAAACAGTATACTTTGTATACCATACAGACCCTACCTCCAATATGATCCTACATGGTTATTCTTTACTTGATAGATCTTGATGTAAACATTGGGATTATTGAGGAATCTAGACTATCATTAAATAGTCGCCATAATTACGAAACTTGACTAAGACTTAGTACTTTATACGTTTTGGTCTTTTAGAAGTGTTAAAGCAAAGCGTTACCCTAACCTCTAGTCACCTACTTCTGTCAGGTGAGTGCGTAGTTACTTTCAAGAAGATAATTTAGTAAAAGGATCTATTAAGTGTTATATGTTTTATTAATACTCTGTGCTACTTCTATACCTATAATAGTAGTGTGTACTAGGAACTATAGTAGCCATAGTTTTCCTTTAGTATAATATGTATTAGCTATAATAGGACTTGTATATGGTGTTTAGTTCCCAATTCATTGGATATTGACTAGGTCTCATTCTGGGGTAGAGTGTGAGATCAGAGCAGAGTGTCGTATTCCTCCTCTTTCTTGGATGACCATAAATGGTGGGTCTGGATCAGACAACTGGCAAGTATGTCTAGATCATCAACCAGAGTAGATGACAACACTTGACTATTCTAGGCGGTCTAGTGAATTACTTTCCTAGTGTGGACTTATAACCCACAGACCTAGATAAATTATTTATCAATAACTGTGAACATTACTTGCCTTTACATGACTTACACTGGCCTTGGACTCCCCTAGATGTGTATTCAACCGGATACTCAAACGTTTTATCAGGTAGGGTGATTCCTCCAGATAGTCGTTGACTTAGGATTCATGAAAATTAGTTGGACTGGGTATAATGTCTTTAAGGACATATA